ATTAATATCGATATATTTTTGTCAGATTTTTATAATATCTTCAAACATATATTTTATTCAAAAATAAAAACATCATCGCTTTCTCAAAATCACATAAAGCCATGTTATAACATCGACTGAGATAAAAGAATAAAAATGAAATATTAAAATCATGATGTATCTCGCTGCATTGCGCGAGTACGCTTCTAGTATATATATATATATACACACACACACATCACACACGAACTCTCTTAAATACACACCTCACACGACACATATATACACACTCTGTCTCTCTTAACACACACACACAATGTTAAACATACACACACAACCACACACATATATACACACGCATGTTACGACTTTCTATTAAACACACACACATACCCTCTGTTAAACACACACCGACAATACAACCAACACACTCAAAGACATCGGAGCAGTGTTGAGGGGGGGGGAAGTCATATTTGCAGTGGGGGTGGAGGTCACGCCAGAGATCTTATCAGAGGTTAAGTCAGAGATCTCGGAGGTTAAGCTGGAAATCTTATCGGAGATGACGCCAGAGATATTATCGGAGGTCACGCTGGAGGGTTTGAGGGGTGAGTTTCGGTCGGGGGAGAGACATGGAGTTGTAATATAAGAAAAAAAGAAAATGAAAAGTATTAAGAAAAAGGGTAAAATGACTATTTTACCCCTCACTTAAATGTAGTTAACGGATGAAGGTAAACAATTGTTAGAAGGATGGACCAGTCTATTACAAAATGACATACGAGGAGTCCTGGTATGTAATAAATTAAGTTTTGGGACCATATTCGTAAAAACCAACAAACGATAGGGGATCAAATCCGTAATTTACTCTTATAATTTTGATAGCTAAGGATGGACCCAAAAAGATTTCAAGCGCTGACCTCATTTAATTACGAGAAACAAATACATAAATATTATTCATAAGAACATCATTGATTTATTGGTTAGTTCATTGTTTTTTATATATGAGGTTTTGTGTTTAAGTCTTTTATTGCAAAAACACACATGTATTGATTATTTTTAGATTTCACTCAATTTTTATGTCCTAGTTGAAAAAAATCCTTCGAATACATTAAGTTTTTAGTTTTCACTTCTTAATCGTCCACGTATTCTAAATCGGCAAAATCCGAAATCCGTAAAAAATAGAATCCAAAATTTCAAATCGTTTCTTGCTCAACGTGTTATGTTTTTTTTTAATTAAAAAGTCTGTCAAACCAAACTGTCTTTTTGTGGTCCAGTTTTAATTTTGTACTAAATACTTGGTTATTTTGAATTCTCTTGTCTCCGTTTTATAATAAAACCGCTAAAATCATAGTTTAGGCCGTTATCTTACTTTCATATGCTTTGGGCTCCAATCAATTAACCATGGTTTTGGGCTTCTTTTAATAAACTGTGTGTAATTAAAGCCCAGCACACACGAGCTAGCAAGCAAGTAGCAATAGCCAATAACGTTTCCAACTGAGTCCAAAACTCCAAATCCTAAAATATTACATTCACCCCCCTTCAACTTTATGTTCCCTTCCCGCATTGCACCCTAACTAAAAATGGACCATGCAAAATTGCAACTGCCCACACCACCCATGACTTTGTCCAAATAATTGAAATCCTTTTAACATGAATTAAAAATCTGTAATACAAATTGTACTTTTAAGTATCTAGCATTTGGAGGGTGCAAACTGATTTTTTTTAGTTTCAATGTACTAGAAACGATATATTATTGAAGGAGTCAAGTCCTAGAATATTCTAGACTTTTCATATCAACCAACTTTACACCAAGTTCCAGAGTCAAAGTTCTCAGCCTCTCATGTCTCCCTCCAATTTGAAGTACGAATCATGACCAATAACCCAATAACCACAAGAACATAATACATATCAAAACTTAGGGGTTTACTAATTTCGGACCAGGCAAGGAAGAAAAGACTAGCTTACTCGATCAACCCCAAAACAAACCTCTTACCTAGATTGTAGTCTTACCCGGTTAGTGCTTACCCAATTCGTGTTAGAATCAAAGAATGATACAGTGCCTTTGTACCTTGATTGATTCCGAATGTCGCAGCAATTTCCAAACCCTAAAAGAAAAACACAAATCAATCCAAAAAGAAATGCAAAAGATGGGTTTAAGAATACAAGTGTTTATGCGCATTGGTAGAATCTGCAAGCAAGCAAGTTCTAAACCATATGGATCTAACCTTTTTTCTATCTAGGACTTTGATCTTCAAAACAGAGCATGAAACTTGGTGTCACTTTTGGTGTAATCTTTTCGCACAACGTAAGAATAACTTTGCTGCTACCTAAAACTGCCACTACTTTTCTCTTTACAGGCACCAATTATGGGGCATCTTCAAACAGAACACGGTACAGACATGTATATAGCTGTATTGAAGAATCTGAGATGGAAGTAAACGAACAAGATGATACATAGCATATAGCAACTCCCTCCTTCACCAGATCATTATGCACTCTTGAATGCAATCTTGAAGGTTGAGGGTCAAATGGATTTGTTTGGTAACTTCAAATTTGATAAAGTTGTTTAATGAAACATTACAACAAACTGATGTACACAAGTTTGTGCTAGAATGCAAAAGAAAACTGATCTAAATTTCACAATTGGAAAGTAATAAGTTTTAAGTTTCAAATCAAAATTCAAAGATGCAAGGAACATTACCCTAATGCATAGTAAACCAAACCACAATTGTTAACACATTTAGTTTTCTAGAGCAACTATAGTCCCATCTCACACATATCCAATGGACTTTGTTCCCCAATTCGTCAAATCAGACTTAAGGAATGAAAGGTTGACAATTTTACCATCTACCGGAGGTTTCATTGCCTCGAGCTTACTTGCTAAAAGTTACAATCTGAATAATCTGGTCTGAGCATTTCAGTAAGAAACAAGCTCATAATATGGCATTATCTCATGTCCAGTACATTTTGCTACATATGATTATGAATTGCCAAAACAAGTGTATCTTTGAGGGAATGAAGCACATACAAGTCAATCATGAGGAATGTGGCACTTGAAAGGAAATCCCCTTTCAAAGTGACAAGTGATAAATTTATATAATGCCGATTTCGAACTTATTCAAGTTTTATTCCATTGAACAACAAAGCTACTAAAAAAGGAACACATATATGAACATGTTTTGACTATTGGAAGCAAAATTAGCATAAAACCCAAGCTTACACCAAGATCTTATCTGGAAAATTGAACACTTCAAATCAAATTCCCAATTTGAAGAAATCAATGAGTAAGTCCCCAGTTATTAATGATCATACTCCTCCATTGATGTCATCAGACATATCCCAAATGCTACCTCTGCAAAAGTTCAACAAAATAATACGATAATTAAGAAGTAAGATATAGTATAGACACAGAGGTAATCAATGAGACAAGAAGTATAGTAATTATCATTGGATTATTACCTTTCCAGTCTCAACCTCATCGGGAACTTTGTAAAGATCAGCAGTTATTTCGGACAACCACAATCCCGGAAACAGAGTCTGACAATCAAAGAATTTAATACAACAGTCACATTGGCAATTCTTAGGAAATTAAAGAAGGAGATCAAGTTGAATTGGTTATTTCACTTACATCCAATTGCCTTTGAACAATCCTTGGCCGTTTCTTCGGCTTCCGTGGCAGTCGCCGGCCGGCCATCGCCATGAAATCGTCCTCCAACTCACGACGGGAAAGAGCAACGGTGATTTTCGTTCTCTCTCTTTTCTCAGCACTTGTAGTTGCGTTGGCGACACCGCCCACAGGTCGGAGTTTCGGAGATTTGCATTCGTTTCTTATCGGAGAAGAATTAGGTTTCAAAACCTCACCGTTACCGTTGACTCCGTTCGACGGAGAAGGCGGAGCCTTGCACGCAGCTCGCCTAGTCCTTAAATTCCATGGCCTTTCCGCCGCACAAGTAGACGTCGTCGTAGCCGTTGTTGCCGTCGGCGGCGGAACCACCAGACCTTCTCTGAGAATGGCGTCCTTCATCTTACCGACCTCCTTTTGAAAATCGAACATCAGCTTCTCCCTAGTCGCCTCGATCTCACCGTCTCCGGTAGCTCCGGTTCTGGCCTTCATTTTCTCCGACGAAGAAAACTTATAATAACTCTCAATCTTACGATCATCACTCGATCTAAATCGTCTCTCAAACTCCAATTCCCTCCGCCTCGTTCCGTTTACATATCCCCCGCCGCCACCACTCTCCGATGATTGCTTGCGATCGACGACCGACACCTCTCCGTTTGAATCTACCTTCATGCACCGTAGAAGCTTCTGATTTCCCCACTTCAAGCACGGCAAATCGAAATTGTGCAACGGCTTGAATCTCTCCATATCTTCCTCCATCGTTTCTCTTTCTCCGCCGCCTCCTCTCTTACCGGAAAATACCATCAAAACCTCTTTTAATCGCTCCTCTCTCGTTCCAATCTTCCCTTTCAAATTCTTCCTTCCTCTCTGTGTGTTTTATGTGAAATCGCCGCGAAACATTCATATGTATGACGAGTCAGAGAGAGAGAGGGACATAAGAGGGGGTGAGATTTAACGTTCGAGAAGCAGGTCCGAGTGCTAACGTGCGCCAGCGTGAATTTTGTGCGCATTTTGGTGTAGAGATGGATCAGGAGGAGACGCCCGAATTTCAAATCAAACGGGTGATCACAACCGTTCATCTGCATATCCTTCTCTTTTACAACAAGAAAAATAAAATAAAATGCATCTTCTATTTAAATTATTATTTCATTACTAAAATGTAACGTCTATTTTTCTTATACAGAATCATACTCTACAAGTTTTTTATATTATTAATTAAATTTACATTTTTTAAATTATTAATTAATTATCTTGATCCGTAAGTTTTTTAAGTTTATTTTATTAAAAAAGGAATTTAAAAATATAATTATTAATAAAAGAATCATTAAAATATGAAACACAAATATTGTATTTTTTTTGATGAATTTATTTCGAAAGTAAAGTTACATAGACGTACAATAATAGCGGTCGATCTCAATAATATATAATCAGTTCATTGGGAAAAAAACTTGACGAATTTTATAGGAATTACTTTTGTATTATACAATTGATACATCACAACCATCCTCGTCCTTACTGATGTAACTTTTTCAACAAGCTGGCTCCGACAACCAACCCACGAAACACCTACATACGAAACCAATTTCATGTTTTGTCATATCATATTAAGAAATAGATTCGAAGCATAGATAAAAATGCCAATAAAACATAAGTGAATTACACTTGTGGTTTGTTTAAATTTCAGATGTGGTCATTAAAACAAACAACATACATTGAATTTCATAAAACTCATGGTTCTTGGAGTTAACACCATTAGTTAGCAACCGTTATGAGAGACAAATTAATACTTGGGCAAGCTATAGGAACCAAAAATATAAATAGTTTGTTTTAGAAATCAAATCTAAAATTTCCACAAACCACGTATAGTTTAAAATAATCAAACCAATTCCCAATTTGGATAGAGGATTTGGTTGTTATGAGGAGGTGGGAGGGGTTGTTGGTTGGTGTCAATAGGGTATGCCTATGAAGTGTTGGTGAATGTAGAGGTGTGACAGTGATAAATGAAGTCGATGGAGGTTTGAAACAGATGCCCGACTATTGTAGCCTTGTATGGGTATTGATGGGTTGTTTGGTCGACATAAGTGTGTCAAACGAAGAATAACAACGGTGGGGTTTAATGTTGTAGGAGCAACGATACTAGTGGTGGTGGTGGGCAACGATACCAGTGGTGGTGGTTATGGTGAAGGTGGTGGTGGGCAACGATACCAGTGGTGGTGGAGATGACGGTTGTGATTACGGAGGACATGAATATGGTAGATAGTGGTGGTGGTAGCCAATAGTGGTAGCCGACGGTGGTAGTAGTAGTCGGTGGTGGTGGTGGGCAGTGGTAGTGGTAGCCGATGGTGAAGGTGGGCAATGGTACATGGTGGTGGCGAGGAACGGTGTTGGTTGGTGGCCGACGATGGTTGTGGTGGTTGTGGAGGAGGTCGTAATAGAATAGAAAGTGAAGGTGGCCAATGATGGCAGTGGTAATGATGATGGCAATGGACAGTGATGGACAGTGGTGGTCAGTGGACGACGATAGTTGTGAAGGTGGTAGAGGAGATTGTAGTAAAAGAGAAGGTGGAGGTGGCCAATAGTAGTAATGGTGGTTAGTGGACGACGATGGTTGTGGAGGTGATGGAAGAGGTTGTAGTAGAAGAGAAGGTGGAGGTGGCCAATGATGGTGGTAGGTTGCCAATGGACGATGGTGGTAGGTTGCCGATGGTGGTTGTGGAGGTGGTGATAGACGATGGTGGTCGATGGTGGTTGTGAAGATGGTGGAGGAAGGGAAGGTCGCTAATGGTGGCCACCAGTGGTGGCAGCGGCCGCAACTAGCGGTGGTGACCATTAAAACAAATTTCATGTTAAAGTTATATATCAAATGAGGGTTAGTTAGTAATATTTTAGTTTTTGTCTCGTTTTTGTCTCAAAATAGGTGGAACAAGAAAAAACTTTTTTTTGTCTCATGTTGTCTCACATTGTCGCAGTTTTTGTCCCTGTCCCATGTCGTATCAAATGTGTGACAGTGAGTTTTATCTTATCTTGTTCTATCTCATGTACCAAAGGTTGTCTTTTAAAAGATGAACAACTAAATGGGTTGAAATATAAACTTTAATGACCTAACTATAACTTTTTTGAAAGTTGGTTACTATTTAATGATACTAGAAGGGTACTCGCGTAATACAACGAAATATATATCAATTTTAATGGTTCATTTTATTGTCTCAACAAATGTTATAATACAGTTTATATGGTTTTAAGAAATGAATAATGTTTTTAATTTTAAATAAAATATAAAAATTTGAATATATTATAAAATTTTGAACATATTATTATCAAATTAATAATCTAAGGGTGCGTTTGGTTTGCGGGAATGTTTTTTGAGGGATTTGGATTCCCTTGAGGGATTTGGATTCCATGGGATTTGGATTGGATTGGATTTGAAATYCATTCMTCTGTTTGGTTTGTAGGATTTGGTTTCTAATACTTCGAATAATTTTTTTAACCTAATCTGTGTTCATGAGATTTCAACCTAATCTGTCAAAATTGAAGGATTTAACCTAATCTGTGTTCATGTATATTCAACCTAATCTGTCAAAATTGAAGGATTTAACCTAATATGTGTTCATGTATATTCAACCTAATCTGTCAAAATTGAAGGATTTAACCTAATATGTGTTCATAGTTTAGAGAGAAATCCAAAAGGGGAAAATGATTTAACTGTTGACGAACAAGGCGACAGAGACGAAGGCGATAGAGACGAAGGCGACTGTTGACGAAGGCCGACGAAGACGAAGGGTGACGGCGGTGGCAACGGAGACGAAGGGCGACGGCGACGGTGAGCAACGGAGACGAAGGGCGACGGCGGTGGCAACGGAGACGAAGGGCGACGGCGACGGTGGCAGCGGAGACGAAGGGCGACGGCGGTGGCAACGGAGACGGAGGAGACGGAGGAGACGGCGATGAGAAGGAGACGACGATGAGAAGGAGACAGCGATGAGAAGGATTGAAGCGATGAGAAGGATTAAAGCGATGAGAGGGAGACAGCGATGAAATCCACGGGAATGGATTTCAAATCCCGTGTAAGGGCGAAGGATTCTCAAATCCAGTGTTGATGGGATTTCAAATGAATCCCGGGATTTGAAATCCGACCATTTCTACAAACCAAACGTAGGATTGGAATGAATTTCAAACCCAAATCCCTCAAACCAAACGCGCCCTAAAAGTTCTTGTTTCTTATGTAATTTATTTAATTCAATTTCTTTTAATTATAATTTAGTTTAGATTTAATAACGAAATAATTTATTTTTGAATTAATATTATAATTTTTTATAAGAATAATAATTAAGTATTTTCTTATAACTCAATGATTATCCAAATTATATTTTTGATTTTTTATATTTAAAATGAAAGATTTGTCTTTATAATCTTGAATTTTAAGTAATATGCATCAATAAACAGTATTTCATGCATAAAAAATAATTTTTAAGAGTTTTTTATAAAATATTTTATAATATAGTATAAATTTTATAAAAAAGTGAACATTTTAACTTGTAGTTTGACCTTAAGGATTTTCGAGTAAACCTCGGTATTAAAAATTATTCAAGTTTTCCGATGTCTGAATTCAAATAATAAGAGACTAGTTGTGTATCCGTACAATGCGGCGGAAGTCATGAATTTTAACGATTTTAAAGTTTCACCGGTTTTATAAGACAAGATTTAACGATGATATAAGTTACACTTGATCTTTACATATTAATACAATTTGAATAAATAAGAGTTATGGTTCTAATTACAGACTATCGATGAAAAAAATTGTATGACAGTTAAAATCCAATATATTTAAAATTCAACATATTTAAACGACTCCACAAATGTGTTCGATTTACACCAATAGAAAAGAAACAAAAAACTCGAGTTTTAAGATAAACACTCAAAACCAATAAAGAAAACTACAAATTTGACAGATCATAAGCTATGAAAAGAGCAAAAAAGATGGGTTTTAGAATGAAATTTCAACTACTTACCCTCTTTCTTGTCCAGAAGCTCAGATTAAGGTTAAATTAATACATGTATATATATATTTCAAAAAAACCCAAAAACATATTATACAGTGCAATTTGGACAGCCTAATCTCTAAATGTATAGCATATATATAAATAAATAACTATAAAAGTATAAATCGTAAACATTAAAAATATTTTTTCACAGTATACATAATATATAATAATATAATTAAGTTAAAAACTATTCAATATTAAACTCATTTCGAGAGTATTAACGAGACGATTATAATAGTGTAACTTGTTAAAATAAAGATGTAAATTTTAAACATGTTTTATTTGATATACGATTATGTATGTTAATTTGATGGTTTAAAATGAAACATTTAAAAGTAAATGACGTAAAGTAATTAATTAACTAATTATAGGGATATAAAATGTAAATTTAAAATTATAATTTTAAAAAAAATTCGTTGAATGTGAGAGGTAAATGTATGTGAGGGGGTGAGTGTATGTGAGGAGAGGAATGGGTGAAAAAGTGAAAAAGTTAAAAAATGAAAAGGGTATCTTGGTCATTTAGAATTTTAAGACTTTAAGACTTTTGATGAATTTGCTTAATAAGATAGTATAGATAAACACTCAAAACCAATAAAGAAAACTACAAATTTGACAGATCATAAGCTATGAAAAGACCAAAAAAGTTGGGTTTTAGAATGAAATTTCAACTGCTTACCCTTTTTCTTGTCCAGAAWCTCAGATTAAGGTTGAATTAATACATGTATATATATATTTAAAAAAAACCCAAGAACATATTATACAGTGCAATTTGCACAGCCTAATCCCAAAATGTATATCATATATATAAATAAATAACTATAAAAGTATAAATCGTAAACATTAAAAATATTTTTCACAGTATATATAATATATAATAATATAATTAAGTCAAAAAYTATTCAATATTGGACTCATTTCGAAGGTATTAACGAAACGATTATAATAGTGTAACTTGTTAAAATAAAAATGTATTTTTTAAACATGTTTTATTTGATATACGATTATGTATGTTAATTTGATAAAAGTTTAAAATGAAACATTTAAAAGTAAAGAACGTAAAGTAATTAAGTAATTAATTAACTAATTATAGRGATATAAAATGTAAATTTAAAATTATAATTTAAAAAAAAATCCCTTGAATGTGAGAGGTAAATACATGTGAGGGGGTGAGTGTATGTGAGGAGAGGAAGGGGTGAAAAAATAAAAAAGGTGAAAAAGGTATCTTGATCATTTAAAATTTTAAGACTTACTTTTGATGAATTTGCTTAATAAGATAGTATAGATTAATACGTGAAACTGTTAGCAATAACTCCGAATAGTAAAATTGCACGATAGGGATGATGATCACGCGCTATGAGAATTGAAAAGATGGGAAACCATAGGACATACATTTTTACTTGCAATATAAACCCAATTTAAGCTACATGTCATTTGTCTAACAATTATGAGAGATTTACCAGAGGCAAAAATGAGACAAAATCCACGACAACCACCCGCATCTTTGTATTGTTGATTCACATTGTTCTTAGAAGATGAGCAGCTGTGTGACCGACCATTTTGTCCTCTCGTGCTCCACGGATTCAATCCCATGGCGAAGCTATCACAGTTGTGAGTTTCGCTGGAGGGACTCCCTCAGTCTGCCATATTTCCTCCTATAAACTGCAAAAAGGATTCAGAGGATGACATTTCAATCAATTAAAAGCATCAGGGAAAGGATCCCAATAAAAACATGCAGTAAAATGCCAATTTAAATTTGTATTCAAACAGTGGAATATAATTGTTAGCAAGATCATGGGATATACGTACATACACACACACACACACGTACACGTACACGTACACATACACATACCCATACCATTAAACTGGAACTGCAGTCCATGTAAAACACCCCATACACATGAACCGAACAATCTTTAGACCCTCTGGCCAACATGGCCTCTAAGGCCTGATTGTTAGCAGCTTAATGAACTTAATGAGACTCGCAACTTATTTGATGTGCTATACATCACTGTTTGGTATTGGCTTTATGCAGAAACCAAGTTTTTTCCAAACCTGCCCCTCCCAATTAAAAAACATGTTCATTCTATCTATTGAAAAACCCTCCCAAACAAAAACCTTCCCAATCTACACAAATAGATTAATCTACACAGACAACTTAAATCCATATAGGACTCAATGGAAAACCAACTAAACAGCCCCTAAGAAGTTGGCGGCATTCATAGGATTCAAACTTGAAACTTGTTAAACCAGGTTCCTTACCAGCTACGCCAACTCACTATCAGAATCATAAATATGAATTACTCCCGGATAGAGTAAAGCATGAAGAACAATGCATTTCCACTACTAATCACTCCTCTCTCTCTCTCTCTCTCTCTCTCTCTATATATATATATATATATATATATATATCTGTGTGTATGTGTGTGTGTTCTATTTCAGTAAAGGGCAGACCAAACAGATAGTTGTATCTGGGCTCAATGATACATAGGAAGGGTGAGACTACATACGACGTTACGCACAGCATAGAGGTAGGATGGTTAAAGTGGAGAGCGGCTAAGGGGGTCTTGTGTGATAAGAGGTACTATAACTAAAGGGGAAATTCTACAAGGTAGCCATAAAACCAGCTATGTTGTATGGTTCTGAATATTGGGCATGTAAAGAAGGCGCAAGTGAAGAAATAGGAAGTTGCAGAGACAAGGATGCTAAGATGGACGTGTAGCCGGACCATGCGATAGGATTTAGAACCAAGTTTTCCAGTCAGAACTAGAGGTTGCTGCCATCATAAATAAATTGAGATGGTTTGGACATGTTTGTAGGAGACAACTGTCAACACCTGTGCGAAGAGTGGAGGGGTTGAGGAGGAGGGGTAGGCCTAGGAGAACGTGGGATGACCAGCTGAGAATGTACATGACCACTTTAGGCCATTTTGAGGATATGACTTCTCATACGAGCTCTTAGAGGCACAAGACTAGAATGGCTGATTTTTTAGTAGATACTGGTAAAGGTTGACGTCAAGGGTATTGAGAGGAGGGTAGAGATAAGGTGAGAATGCTCCATGTGTTGGTTTCTAATTGTTTTACGTGTTTTACACGATTACATTGTCTGTCGCACACTATTGTAGTGTGCGCACACCAATGAATCCCAATTACCACACACCTTTGCATCATGCACTAGCCAGGGTCTTCACGGAAACAATCACTTGATCCTAGTGGTTGAGGTAAGGTCTACGTACATCTTAAATCTCCTGGAACGTTACTTCCGAGTGGGATATATTGGATTCATTTGGTTTGGGTTCTTTTCAGTAAAATCTCTTGATGTTGTTTGGTTAGGTTTCCTTTGTTCCACTTGTAAGGAGGTAGGAAATGTTATTGATAAGGTGAATACGCAGTCTATTCAATGCTAGGCTGAGTATAAGGGACTCAAAAAAATCTCTTTTCGTCCTTGGCGGAATTGCCACATATGAAATTGAGCACAATTTTGCAAAAAAATAGCCAATACATTCGTTCGTAGAGCTATTTACTCGTTCGCAGACATTTCTGGAACATCTCTAACAGAGTAAGAAATCCAGATCAAATGGACTTCAAATTAATATGCAGAAACTGAAGGATACCTGAATAAGGAACATGAAGGAACTCCATTTTTGTGTGGGACTACGAGCAAGGGTCACTACTGGAGAATATGAACTCAGCCCAAAATATGCTAAAATACCTGGCTGGTGGGGTTGAGTTACTAGAAGAGCAATGGGAAGCCCCTATGGAGAAAAACTACTAGCTAGATTTGTTAACCAGATTCCGTCCTAAATGGACCAGTTTGTGCTTGTATATTTTGATGACATTTCAGTCTATGGTGGGATGCTTAAAGATGACATATAGTGCTTACGAGAAGGGTAGAACAAGATGCAGAACCAATTTACACATTGATAATGCATAAGCTCAATCCTTTACAGCATCATTTACATAAACCTTGCATTTTGACAGTTTCCTATAGAACTCAGGCACTAATAACTTCTCTAAGCTGATCTGAACTTCCCATGGACAACAAAGGCGAGATTTTTGAAATTAGATCATCAAGGGAATGAGGCAGCAGGATCATTCATGAAAACCCACCAAAAAATTTCACACATTTTATCTAATGGAAAAGGGAAAATGGAAAATTTGATGACGACCCATGGAAAAAGGAGGAAAGTAGGTCATAAACCTTTTTGATACTCGTGAGAACATAAAACCGGTCAAATTATCACGATGGTAGAGACCTATCAGTAATTACTTCATGGAAGAATTGATTCCAACGTATAAGTAGATGTCATTCACTTCCCAACTTCTCTCTCATATTGTTCTACTTTGTTTCTAGATCTAACTTTATTGGCAACTAGAACCACAGTGCTTGATTCAAGGACTTTAATGTACACTGGTTATCTCAATTTTTTGGTTATCACACTAACAGACTAACTTTCTAGAAAGTTGGCCATACTTTGTGTGACTTTTGACAAACGAATGCACGCTAGCATCTAATATCAGTCTTTATCCAACCCAAATTCATTGTCTTAAAGGTAGTTGGTCAGGGATTAGGTTTTATGTGGCAGGTTTGGTTTGTGATAGCTACCTAAGAAAATAACTTCTATTCAAAAACAAATACAGACCTTCCGTTCTATTGGATATATATATCTTATATCCATATAGTATATAGACACAGTATCTATGCAATTCCTTAAAAAGGGTAGCATCATCAATGGTCTCATTTTTAGAACATTAAGAGTAATGAAAAGAAAAGAAAAACACAAGCACGAATAAGGGATACACAGCATAACATGTAGTATAAGATCAGATGTCAAAAAAAACATAAATTCAATTGACAACGATGAGGCTGTCTAGATAATACGTTCTATACAAATATCAGATTCTGCACCATCCCAAAAAGTAAGAATTTATGCACAAGTATGATGTTAAAAGAAAATGTAGCTATCCTAGTACCAAATATACTTCAAGAGATGCTTACATTTGATGTTTTCCAGTCATACTGAAGTACACAACTTTATTTCAGCACATGTCAACTATAGACAAAATCCTTCAAAGTTCCAGAAAACTTTTGCCGTTGCTATCTCTGTTTTAAAGGAAGGTAAATAAGATAACATAATAAAGATTCAGAAGAACCAATAAAGTGTACTATCATGAAACAGCACTGAAAGCCATGTTTAGAAACCCCAATTCCAATGGCTTCAGAACTCAAACAAAATTCTCATATTTCATGATCCCAAACAGTACCCTTAAAGCGTTTGGAAATTAAAGTAATGTACCTTCTTGGTCTCATGAACTCTGTAAAGATCAGCATGTATCTCAGTCAACCACAAACCGGGAAATAGTGTCTGCAATTTATATCAATAGAAATAATACAAGTTAATAAGAATTGATAACAGTCATAAGCAAAATTCCAACCCAGCTCAGATCTTTATTGAGCTGTGTGATACTTGTAGAAACTCCACAAAATTGTGACTTTTATCTTGATCAAAAACTTATTTCAAGCAAGATAACAGATGCAGCTAATTCCCAGGTGGCATTGGGCCTTGAATCTTGATGTGATCGTCAGATCAATTTCCACAGACAGCATCCTTTTCCAAAACTTCTATGGCTTCAACGTTCTAATTTGATAGGATACTAGTACAATTTGAATGCTGATTGGAACTGTAATATCCGATCTAACAATACATTAAGTTCACAACTACGTTGGAGTTTCAAATCCCTGAAACAAATTGGTGTAGAATGTGTATCGAACCGTATAAACATGAGTCAAATCCAGGCTACTATGATTTTGAAAAGTGTTAGGTTGTAAATTATATGACAAAAGTACTTACATCCAGTTGATTTTGTACGATCTTAGGTCGCTTCTTCGGCTTGCGTGGAAGCCGCCGCTCCCCCATGTCCTCGAAATCCTTCTCCATCTCCCGACGTGAAAGCGGAACAGAAAACTTTGCCCTAGCCTTCTCCCTCCTCTCAATTCCCTCAGCGCCACCGCCATTATTGTCTACACCCGAAGACGATGGAGGTCTCAATTGTTCCTCCTCCTCAAGCTCTTTCTTAAAATTGAGTATTATCTTCTCCCAATTCGCTTCCGTGTCTCCATCTTTGGCCTTCAATTCAAGCACTAAACTATCAACCAGGGCCTGAGATGGTGGCCAAAACTTGAATTGCTCATCTACGGCCAAGTCACCGGCGACTTGAAGTGAATTCCCATTATTCGTAGTGCATTTTGAAAGATTCAGTGGAGGTGTGAGATTGGATGAAGAAATGGTGGAATTGATAAGAGGCTTTGATTTCTCCAGCATTCTTATGAATATGAATGGAATCAAATTGGGTTTCTTGATTTCGTGGTGGATGATGCGTCGAACTTTGTCCCCCGAATTTTCCAGCTAGGTTTTCCGGCGAAACGGATATTAGGGAGCCCAACCACGACTAATAAAGCCCAGGCCAGGTAAAATATTATTTTTTATTATCTAAAAGAAATATTTTAATATTTTAAATATTATATTATGTTAAATAATTGTGTATAGAATAAACCAATTAGAATTTGACAGACGATGCACTTGTCACCATTGATCTTTTCTTTTTGGATCTTGACCGCATAACCCATATTAAAATAAATGCATTCATAAATATCATCATTTAATTCCAAAATAAAAGAGTAACATGCAAAATATTCTCCCTTAACTCTATGTTGTGGACAAATCTAATCATTTGATTTCCATTTTATACTTTTTATATAGTAATTATTGTTTAAACGATACAACTGTTTTAGGATACTGACTCCTCATGTTAAATTTGTTAAGTAAAGGATAAAAAATACATCAAATACAACTGTTAAATGAGAAAATATTTGGTTAAACAAATCTGTAATAAAATACTGAAAGAAAAGTTATGATGTCTATTCAACTACTGCCATTGAACATTTTGATGTTTGATTTCTTCGGTTTAAAATAATAATAGGAATAAGTTTGGGTACATCTGCACACGATACTAGGATCTTGATTAACCAAAACGAACCATGTGAAAACCATAAGAGATTAGAAACTGAAATCACTTGTGATTCCAAAAACTTTGAAGAGCTATCAAAGTCATTCCCAACAAGTATTTTACTTTCAATTTCGTGATCATCCTAGGCTAACATTAAGGTTTTTCGAGTTTATCGTAGGGCACAATCATGTTGCCACAGGAGCGTGGTCGTGGCACTTTTCCAAATTATTTATATTCCATTCGAGAAAAAGTTTTACACCTACGGATAAAATTCGGGGTTAGAGATGGTAACAAGGTCGGTGATACAAGAACCCCAATCCTCATTCTCATCCCTAACCTTGTCGAGAAATATGATTGGGGTTTTTCAGCCATTATCGTGATGTTCTTTTCTTGTTTTCCCCGTTTTCTTTTATATTTTTGTGAAAATATGGCAAAATAAAGTTTTGGTCAAAATGCTACAACTTAGTAAACGATACTATAAATTACAAATTTTTATAAATATTCATGTCTTTTTTTCTTTTAGATGTCTCAAAAAGATTTTTTTTTCTTTTCATAAAACAAATATATGTATTTTATCTTATATTATTTCTATAAATATATTAATTAACTAAAAAGTTTTATAATATATATATATATATATATATTAAAGAAGAACCAAGAGTATTAATGTGGCATCGTGAGAATTGAGTATTAATGTGTTGGTGAATTGTGGTTGAGTTTGAGATATCCACATTGGTGAGAGATTGAAATAAGGAGATGTGTATAAGAAAGAATGATAAGATTCATTGTGTCAACTCATAAGGTTTGAATCATAAGGTTATCTTATTTGGATGACCTTATTTTTGCAAAACAAATCTTATATTGTGTTAGCTCATGAGGCTTGAGTCATAAGGTTATTTTATTTGAGGAAAATCTTGGGATATTGAGGTGGCACCATGAGAATTGAGTATTCTCAAATGGTGGATTGTACTTAAGTTTTAGTTGTCCCACATTGGTGAAAAGTTGAAAGATTTGAACAAAGTGAAGTGTATAAAAAATGGATTGGTGCATTTGTGTCGATTAATGAGGTTTGCCTCATAGGGTTGTCTTACTTTGGATGACTCTCTTTGAAATCTATAACCATGATGGGGATCAAAACCAATCAAATAGAAAAAATCTTTATCTTTATATATATAAAAGAAAAACTTGGGGTATTGATGTGACATCATGAGAATTGAGTATTCTCAAATGGTAAATTGTTGTTGAGTTTTAGTTGTCCCACATTGATGAAAAGTTAAAATTCTTGAACAAAGTAAAATGTATAAGAAGGGTGGATTTGCCTCATAAGGGTTGTCTTATTTTGGATGTCCGTCTTTAAAATCTATACCATGTTTGGAATCAAAACCAACTAAATGGTAAAAGTTATACTGCAACTATATAAGTGAACCCAAAGATGATAATTTGGCAACATGAGATAATTATTTGTCCGTCGTCTTGGTGTTAATACTATCAAGGTTTGACACATCCCTCTAATTACAATTCAAATATTATAGAATGTTACGATAAAATGTAGTATTTTTATTAGTTTAATATATGATATCTGGGTCATCAACCCCACTTGATATTAATTTTATTTTTTATGAGGGAAAATTCATTATCTTAGCTTGATGATGTGGTTCTTCATGCATCGCATTGAACTTCCACCATTGTTGCTATAACTTATGTACTCCTCTAATTTTCACTAGAAATATTATAAAACGTTTCTTTTTCGTAACTTCAAAAATGATATTTCTATTAAAACCGTGACTTCTAATTAGACAAACTACTAACATTAGTCAAACATTTGTAGAATACTTTCCAACACCATTCTCGAGCATAGTTAGATAAATTAAATTAGCATATGGTTCTAAGATTGTTGTCAAATCCTCTTAAAAACTTTTAATATTAATGAGTAGTTGCTACACACATTTGCCTAAATTTTTTTAGAAGATGACTTCAAATTTTAGTCTATAACATTCATTTTGAAGATAATATTATCGCTACCGTATAACACAGTTGGAACATTAATTTAAAATAATAATTAGCCTAATCAAATACAATAAATGGTCATAAAATCATCATAATAATTTAATATAACAGTTGAGAAATTGATAATTGTGACTTGTGAGTCCATCTCCCCTTGGATTCCCCTAATATCGTAAGCATAAAAAACCCAAATGTACTAGTTGCAAAAGTTTGTAGACTTTGGACTAATATTTATCTATATCTATACTATTTTATAAATTAAATTTAACAAAAATCTTAAAGTCTTGAAATACTAAATGACCAAGATATCATTTATATCACTATTTCACCCTCTCCTCTCCTCACATATACTCACCCCTTCACATACATTCACCCTCTCAATTTTTTTAAATTATAATTTTAAATTTACATTTTATACCCCTATAATTAGTTAATTAATTTACTTTACGTCATTTACTTCTAAATGTTTCATTTTAAACCTTTATCAAATTAATATACATAATCGTATATCAATTAAAACATGTTTAAAAAATACATTTTTATTTTAACAAGTTACACCATTATAATCGTCTCGTTAATATCTTCGAAATGAGTCCAATATTRAAKAGTTTTTGACTTAATTATATTATTATATGTTATATATACTGTGAAAAAATATTTTTAATATTATATAGTTATATATATATATATATATATATATATATATATATATGTACTACATATTTTAGGGTTAGGCTGTTCAAGTTGCATTATATAATATGTTTTGAATTAATATATTCTTGGGTTTTTTTGAAATATATATATATATATATATATATACATGTATTAATTCAATCTTAATCTGAGTTTCTGGACAAGAAATAGAGTAAACAGTTGAAATTTCATTCTAAAACCCATCTTTTTTGGTCTTTTCATAGCTTATGATCTGTCAAAATTGTAGTTTTCTTTATTGGTTTTGAATGTTTATCTTAAAACTCAAGTTTCTTGTTTTTTGCTCTTGGTGTAAATTGAACACATTTGTGGAGTCGTTTAAATATGTTGGATTTTAAATTGTCATAATTTTTTTTTTATCGATAGTCTGTAATTGGAACCATAACTCTTATTTATTCAAATTGTATTAATATGTAAAGATCAATTGTAACATATATCATTGTTAAATCTTATCTTATAAAATCAGTGGAACTTCAAAATCGTTAAAATTCATGGCTCCCGCCGCATTGCGCGGGTACACAACTAGTTATCTTATAAAGCAAGTTTAACAAAAGTCTTAAAGTCTTAAAATACTAAATGACCAAAATACTCTTTATATCACTTTTTTACTTTTTCACCCCTCATCTCTTCACATACACTCACCCCCTCATATACATTCACCCTCTCACAACCAATTTTTTTAAAATTATAATTTTCAAATTACACTTTATACCCCTATAATTAGTTGATTAATTTACTTTACGTTTTTTACTTTTAAATGTTTCATTTTAAACCTTTATCAAATTAATATACATAATCGTATATCAATTAAAATATGTTTAAAAAATACATTTTTATTTTAACAAGTTACACCATTATAATCGTCTCGTTAATACCTTCGAAATGAGTCCAATATTGAATAATTTTTGACGTAAT